AAACGTGCTCCGGTGACGGTGACGACCACGGTGACTAGCGACACCAGACTGGACATATTTCGCATCTGACACAACCCCATGCAACAAACTTGATACTATGTGTTCATTGTTGTCCATTCTTCCTCGACGAACAAGTACATAAGTGGCAATTTAGTCAAAGACGAGAAAACAGCACAAGAAATTTGCCTTATTTACATGTATCGGCAATGCAAGCTGCCATGCGACTTCCCCTTCTGACCTCACAAGAGGAATTTCTGTATGCAAATGAGAAGTTAATGAGGAGCCTCGATTTAAAATACACAAAAATAAAGTTTCCGTAGACTGAGTTAAAAACACATTTTTTCACTTAGAAAAATTATTTATGCTTAGAAACATAAAAATTAATAATATTTATGTATCAATGGATAATTTTAGGCGTGAAAATAGCAGCCATTTCACAGGCACTTTAAATGTTAACAGGATAGGTGTCTAGAGTACATGAAACAGATTTCAAGACTTGTTTTTCAATTTGGACAAATAGTGCATAATTGGCTACTTTGTGAAATACATAATGTTTTAGTTGTTCACTGTTTATTTTTATGTAAGTGGTATTGCTTTATTTAAAGGGGATTTTTTCAATCCCAGGGATTGCTATATATGAGATTAATTAATATCTCTTTAATATGAAGTTTTGGTAAATTATAGAAAAGATGTGTGAAAGAGTTAGAGGAATTTGATCTACTAATAGATTGGAAGTCTAGCCTGGTTTAAGAGCTATAGTGTCATTTCTCAAATTGTGTAGGACAAAAACTATAAAATAAATTATTGATGACTAATTGAGGAAATGGTAGCCCCGGGACAAGAGTTGGTAGCCTTTGGTCTACTGTTCTAGTCAATATTGTGAAGAATGTCAGAGAGTACATTTAGTGTAGTCCTCAAGGACAAGTGTTTGCAAGGTGTGTATACAAACACTGCAATGAAGTAAATTAAAAGGTCCTACTTCCAGTTGTGTGATTTTATACAGAACTTCATTTAGTCACCCTGAGCAATAGGTGTGCTCTATAACACTAGGTTCACAAAAGAACAAAGCCTGCAGTTAAAATAAACAAAAGATTGACTCAGCGCAACTTGTGAGAGATTGATGAGATTTCATTTAAATGCATTCATGTGTGCTGGTTAACTTGGTTCTTAATACAATGTACTTGTGTACAGGGGTGTACATTTTACTGGTGAACTTTATTAGCTCCGCTGTCGACTTTGTCGAGCGGAGCTTATCATATGAGTGATTGTCCGTCATCGTCCGTGTCAATATTTTACCTTTTCGACTTCTTGAAAACTACTAGCCTGAATGCTTTGATACTTGGTCTATATTTACCTTGGGTAGACCTCTCTTAGGTTTGTTCATTTCATGTTGATATCTTCAATTCTCTAATTTTGGTGAATATTTTTGTCATTTTTGGTAAAAAGTGATATTTTCGACTTCTTGTTAAAAACCGCAAGTCCAATTGCTTTGATATTACATATATAGGTTCTACATGTGATTTGTTCATTTCATGATGATATCTTTAATTCTCTAATTTTCATGAATATTTTTGTCATTTTTGGTAAAAAGTGATATTTTCGACTTCTTGTTAAAAACCGCAGGTCCAATTGCTTTGATATTACATATATAGGTACTACGTGTGCTTCTCTCTCAGATTTGTTCATTTCAGGATGATATCTTTTATTTTTTAATTTTCACGAATATTATTGTCATTTTTGGTAAAAAGTGATATTTTCGCCTTATTGTTAAAAAACGCAGGTCCAATTGCTTTGATACTACATTTCTAGGTACTACAGTACATGTGGTCCTCTCTCAGATTTGTTCATTTCGTGATGATACATTGTATCTTCAATTCTCTAATTTTCATGAATATTTTTGTCATTTTTGGTAAAAAGTGACATTTTTTGATATTATATATACTACATAGGCATACAGGTAGACCTCTCTCAGATTTGTTCATTTCGTGATGATTTTGTTCTTCAATTATCTAATTTTAATGGATATTTTTTAATAAAAAGTTATAAAAAGTCTGATTGCTTCAATACTATACATATTGTTGTTTTCGAATGATATCTTCTGTACTTTAATTGCAATGTGCATTGACAACAGCGGAGCTATCTCAGCCGACATGCTGCTCGTATTAATAATTTCGGTAAATATCGTTGATATGAGGTGATGTATGATAAATTGAACGTTTATATGATGTGGGTGTGGAATGTTTAAATCTATGGGATGCAAGTCATTGTGTTAATGTTAAATTTTTTATTGTTTTTTAGGGTCAGATGGTCTGGTTTGACATTGGGATTGGTTATCCTATACCTGGTGAAATAGTACACTCATCAGGCAAATCTATGCAAATAAGGAGTTCAGTTGATGGCAAGGTAGGCTGATTTGACCTTTGATCTAAATAAATAAATTGGTTTCACTCCATGTCTTTTCTTTTACTTTCACTATCACATTATAAGAAAGAGGTCACAAATGTCAATGTAAAATATCTAATGAAAACTTAAATAATTTTTGCCAAAACATTTTTAACCTTTTTATGTACTTTTCTCTAATTTGTTTTTAATATGGACAAAATAGACATTATTTTCCCGTTGAATCAAGTCATAATAAAATTTATTCAGACATTTACTTATTGTGTAATATTTCTACATGAGTGAATTACACTGTTTTTACTGCTTGATTAAAAAGCAAATAAGTATTTAATTTGAAAATTGAACACTCGGGTAGATTTTACCTATTCTCATAAAGATATTTATTCTGTGCTTTATGTATTTTATGACAATGGCTGCATTATATATTAAACCAACCTTTAAAGTACAATACCTGTTTCGTGTGTAATTTCAATGAATTTATTTGTGTATTCTGCACTTACTTTATCTACCAATGAGAAATGAGGTTGGTGATATGCTCAAGATAAATTAGTGTAGATTGCTGTTATGTCCTGTACCGGTAGTCCTCAGAACCTTAAGAATATAAATGTGTATTTTAATTTAGATTCATAAGATTCGTGATTCGTCTGGCGTCAAAGTTCGTCATGATGCAGTAGAAGACGGAATTGATGACATGATACAATTACGGTGAGATATCTGATAATTATTGTCCTAAAAGTTTGCTAGATTTATTATTGAAAGGCTTATTAGCATTAATTTATACACAAACTGTAACCATAGCTTATTTTATTAGAAATTAAAAAATAAAATGTACTATGATTTCAAACCTGCTTGTGAATAATAGGTGTTCATTATGATGTGTTCCTTACTTTGTATATTCACTAACAAAATTACAATTATGATATTTAGAAATTTGAAGGTTCTATTGTATTCTATATTTCAATAGTTTCATAACTATATGGTTGTGGTGTAACTTTATGCTTTCACTTTCTTTTTTGTACAGAGATCTTCATGAAGGTTCCCTTTTAATGAATTTAAAACAACGATATGAGAAAAGTCAGATTTACGTAAGTATGAACATATTATGCAGAGAATATTTTTACATGTGTATGATTTTGTTATTGTTGTCAGTGGCATATGTTGGTATGTGTTTTTGTTTTTTTTCAAATATGATGGAAGCATCCATTCCTTTGTACCTAAACAATATACCCAATTTTTCCCTGGCTCCTGGATTTACTGCTGGTAGTGAGATGAGTTTGCTTTTGTGTCTTTGCTTTGGTACACAATTCTGGTGATAATGCTTAATGTAGTTATAGAAGGTAAAGTTAATATGTGATTAAGTTGAGGATAACCTGTTAGGTATCTTGCAGTTAAATAGTGTGTTATATTGCAGCTGATAGAACTAGAATAGCAAATAACGTATTAATTACCAGGAATTAATTCTTAAGTTGAAACTTTTGTTTATTTGTGTTATTTGATGATATATTCCAGTGTAGTGTAAATAACCATAGTGTCTTTGGTGATATATTCCAGTGTAGTATAAATAACCATAATGTCTTTGGTGATATATTCCAGTGTAGTATAAATGACCATAATGTCTTTGGTGATATATTCCAGTGTAGTATAAATAACCATAATGTCTTTGGTGATATATTCCAGTGTAGTATAAATAACCATAATGTCTTTGGTGATATATCCAGTGTAGTATAAATAACCATAATGTCTTTGGTTATATATTCCAGTGTAGTATAAATAACCATAATGTCTTTGGTGATATATTCCAGTGTAGTATAAATAACCATAATGTCTTTGGTGATATATTCCAGTGTAGTATAAATAACCATAATGTCTTTGGTGATATATTCCAGTGTAGTATAAATAACCATAATGTCTTTGGTGATATATTCCAGTGTAGTTTAAATAACAATAATGTCTTTGGTGATATATTCCAGTGTAGTATAAATAACCATAATGTCTTTGGTGATATATTCCAGTGTAGTATCAATAACCATAATGTCTTTGGTAATATATTCCAGTGTAGTATAAATAACCATAATGTCTTTGATGATATATTCCAGTGTAGTATAAATAACCATAATGTCTTTGGTAATATATTCCAGTGTAGTATAAATAACCATAATGTCTTTGATGATATATTCCAGTGTAGTATAAATAACCATAATGTCTTTGGTTATATATTCCAGTGTAGTATAAATAACCATAATGTCTTTGGTAATATATTCCAGTGTAGTATGAATAACCATAATGTCTTTGGTGATATATTCCAGTGTAGTATAAATAACCATAATGTCTTTGGTAATATATTCCAGTGTAGTATAAATAACCATAATGTCTTTGGTGATATATTCCAGTGTAGTATAAATGACCATAATGTCTTTGGTGATATATTCCAGTGTAGTATAAATAACCATAATGTCTTTGGTGATATATTCCAGTGTAGTATAAATAACCATGTCTTTGGTGATATATTCCAGTGTAGTATAAATAACCATAATGTCTTTGGTGATATATTCCAGTGTAGTATAAATAACCATAATGTCTTTGGTGATATATTCCTATTGTGTACTTGGTGATATATTCCTATTGTGTACGTAATGATTTTGGTGATATATTCCTATTGTGTACGTACTGTAAAAACTCGATTAATTCGCGCACCCATTTTTTTTTGAACGCTAATTTTTAAATGTATCTTTTTCATTTGCGGCATTCAAAAACATGTTTAAAATTGTATCCTATTAATTCGCGGGCCAGAATAAAGTGGATAACATTTTGTTTGAATTGTTATGTTATTTGTACTTGGTGTCGCCGCAATCGCAGACGATCTCCGTCATCACAGCCTTTCAGTTAGCAAGCAGTTTAGGTTCGGTCAAGATTTGACCTGAAAAAAATAGGTCAATGGCCTGTTGCTCAGCGGCTATTGTACAAAAGATTAGTGCTGTATATGCCACAACTTTTCACTCATTTGTACTTTTAAATGAAATATCGCCAAACAACCACACAAAGTTGTCAATGGAATAATAAACACATGTATGCTTAACACCAAAGCATTGGAAATAGTGGTTACCGTAAAAACTTGATTAATTCGCGGTAGTAAAAATAATTATTTTTTCAAGTGCACGAATTAATATCGTCAAATCGGAAATTATTGGTTTTTGGTGCGCGAATTAAACGAGTACTTTTAGATCGATTCAAAAAGGAACTGTTTACATAAATTTATTTGTGATTTGTTTTGTTTTCCAATGAACACGATTACGGGACGTTTTTTTAGTGCCTCTGAGACTCATGGCTAGCAACATTCATGGCGTATAGTCGGACAGAGAACACGCACTGCGTCAAGGACCACGCACCATGTTACACTTGAAATGAAACAGTGAAAAATGGCAAAGGTCACTCTGTACACAAACAAACAATGAACACGTGGCTACAAAGTAGCCGTCTGGCTGCACTGCCTTTTTTTATTTTTCTAGGCATCGCCCGGGCGATGTTATGGCAGATATTACGAAGCCCATCTTGTCTGGGAAAAATAACTCTGCGTTGATAAAATCGGTCTCGGAAAATGTTTAGATAAAATAATTTTTCGCATTGACCAAATATAATCATGCAAAGTATAAATTCAAAGTGTTTAATACATGGGTGAGAGGTCGCATTTTACGTGAACAAGAAGGAAAAGCAGGCCAAAGTCGAAACAGGGTGCATCATGGACATGACACAACACACGCTGCGACAACTGAGTGATCAGCAACATCATTTTGGGACGCAATTGAACTTCAAGTACTTTAGTAGCGAAACTTGTTGCGCGGCGATGCTGACATCAAGTGTGTGTTGACCGAAGTTTGACCCCAAGTCACGCACTGAACTGGCGCGTTACCGTAGCAACCTTTTTCTTTCGTGCCCCGCGCGTCAAACTAGTAAAATTGTTATTATATCCGACGGTACTGTAATTACGCAACTTGTATGCAACTCTGTACTGGCTTGAATATATCAACGTCGTTTACTTAGTGCACTGCTTTTCTAATTACCCAAATTTGTTTACAATATTGTACCAGCTCTGAATATTTCAACTTCGTAATGTATTGCTTTCATGATAATTAGTCTTTTTTTAACTATTGTTAGGGCACTGACCTGGGGTATTAGGTCTGTGATTATTTCAATATCACCGACTTGATAATGCGTTGCATTCGTAATAATTACGCAAACATAAACATACCATACGTCAAATTAAATTTTACTATAATATAATAAACTCTGGGTAGCGGACTTCGATCGCATTATTCACGTACATTTCGACTGAACTCTAATAACCGAACCTAAACTGCTTGCTCACTGAAAGGCAGTGATGGCGGAGATCATCTGCGATTGCGGCGACACCAAATACTGATAACATAACATATATATGTATATTTTCAATGTTCATGCAATATATTCTGAGTTGTCCACTTTATTCTGTCGCGTGAATTAATAGGATACAAATTTAAACATGTTTTTGAACGCTGCGAATTAAAAGGATACATTTAAAAATTAGCGTTCGAAAATAAAATGGGTGCGCGAACTAATAGAGACCGCGAATTAATCAAGTTTTTACGGTAGTTGAAATTCCATTTTTAACCAAAAATGACAAAAATATTTGCCAAAATTAGAAAACTAAAGATATTGCCATGGGATGAACAAATCTAGTAGATGTCAACACAATTTACATACACACCAAGTATCAAAGCATTCAGGTTACCGGTTTTGAAGAAGAAGTCGAAAAAAATGACCATTTTAAAATAGTCTGAACTGAAATCAGGTCGGGTCAAAACAGCCGTTTTTTTTTTTCATTATTTTCGCCTTAAGTTTCTACCTTTCTACTGTTGATGGGTTCCGAAACTATTTCATCAATTATTTTGATGGCGATGGTTCGAATTGGTCGATTTCACGTCGAAAACCTCGGTAATGGTAATGTCTTTGGTGATATATTCATATTGTGTACGTAATGTCTTGGTGATATATTCCTATTGTGTACGTAATGTCTTTGGTGATATATTCATATTGTGTACGTAATGTCTTGGTGATATATTCCTATTGTGTACGTAATGTCTTTGGTGATATATTCCTATTGTGTACGTAATGTCTTTGGTGATATATTCCTATTGTGTACGTAATGTCTTTGGTGATCTTTTCCTATTGTGTACTTGGTGATATATTCCTATTGTGTACGTAATGTCTTTGGTGATATATTCATATTGTGTACGTAATGTCTTGGTGATATATTCCTATTGTGTACGTAATGTCTTTGGTGATATATTCCTATTGTGTACGTAATGTCTTTGGTGATATATTCCTATTGTGTACGTAATGTCTTGGTGATATATTCCTATTGTGTACTTGGTGATATATTCCTATTGTGTACGTAATGTCTTTGGTGATCTTTTCCTATTGTGTACTTGGTGATATATTCCTATTGTGTACGTAATGTCTTGGTGATATATTCCTATTGTGTACTTGGTGATATATTCCTATTGTGTACTTAATGTCTTGGTGATATATTCCTATTGTGTACGTAATGTCTTTGGTGATCTTTTCCTATTGTGTACTTGGTGATATATTCCTATTGTGTACTTAATGTCTTGGTGATATATTCATATTGTGTACGTAATGTCTTGGTGATATATTCCTATTGTGTACGTAATGTCTTTGGTGATATATTCCTATTGTGTACGTAATGTCTTTGGTGATATATTCATATTGTGTACGTAATGTCTTTGGTGATCTTTTCCTATTGTGTACTTGGTGATATATTCCTATTGTGTACGTTAATGTCTTGGTGATATATTCATATTGTGTACGTAATGTCTTGGTGATATATTCCTATTGTGTACGTAATGTCTTTGGTGATATATTCCTATTGTGTACGTAATGTCTTTGGTGATCTTTTCCTATTGTGTACTTGGTGATATATTCCTATTGTGTACGTAATGTCTTGGTGATATATTCATATTGTGTACGTAATGTCTTGGTGATATATTCCTATTGTGTACGTAATGTCTTTGGTGATATATTCCTATTGTGTACGTAATGTCTTTGGTGATCTTTTCCTATTGTGTCTTTGGTGATATATTCCTATTGTCTTAATGTCTTATTCATTTGGTTTATTGAGGTAATCCACAGACGTGATTAGTTTAATGTTGATAAACATACATATTGATTATCTATTATTAGCCTATTCCTGATATCTTACAAAATCAAATTTGAATTGAATTCATAACAGAGATACTCTAATTAATTAAAAACCATGGATGAAAAATCAAATGCATTTTCTGTATGTATTATAAATTTTGATAATGTAATAAATCACATTGTTTTCATGTTGTGCATCTCAAATAGCAGACAAATATTAGTTGCTAAGCTTCTTGTTTAAAATACAAAATTAATTTTAATGCATCTCCAATACTCTCAGCACACAGAAGTTCTTTCTAAGCTTTCTTTGATTGTTTATAGTAGCTTGAAATTGAGCTAAATCTATGCATACTTCACATCATGTTGTAATATGTAGGCAACCTATTGCCCGTCATTTTTAGTGTTATGCTGTTATATTTCATATATCAACATTTGAGTTCCTAATGCTGAATGTGTCAAATGTGATTGATTAATTGGTTTATGCCAAAGAACATTGTATCAGGTTGAATCCAGCTATAATTTACATTACTCTTATGACGCTGTTAAGGGCTCTGTCAGCTAGGTCAAGTTAAGGTCAGTGTTGATGTGAACTGGTTTTCCATATTTTGTCAAGGGTATTTCCTGTTTTGATTTCATTTACATTTTATTCAGATTAAAAGAATTGTTGCCTTGGTAATTTATGCAAAATTAATTTTTCAGAGAAATGGGCTAGGGTTGAAAACAAGTATCTATAGTATGAAACCATGAATTAAAAATTAAAATACAATCATCACAAATGTAAGTGATACTACACAGGTAGTATATTGGTTGCTGTTAATGTACTCAGTTCATGTATTCTTCTTTATTTATAGACCTACACAGGTAGTATATTGGTCGCTGTCAATGTAC